TAAGCACAAAGCTTAGTGATTTCCCCCATCATACCACATGTTATACAATCACATAGCATACATACTATCAGGCAGTTCTGGGGCGCCTGTCTACCTATGTCAAGCCATTATGGGGTGATGACCTACCCATGTCGAGCTATTATGGGGTGCCGACCTACCCATGTCAAGCCATTCTGGGGTGTTGACTTACCCATGTCAAGCTATTCTGGGGTGCTAACCTACCCTTGTCAAGCTATTCTGGGGTGATGACCTACCCTCCAGTCTATCTCAGCCGAACATAGGGACTATTTCACCCCTACTACTAACACATAATATCATGTCATAATCATGCTGTCAGACATATCTTGGGTGTCCGACCTACCAATTGGTCCTAGCGACCAAATCGGGGACTAATCCCCTTTTACTAATACTATCTCACATAACATAGCAACTAGCAAACTAGCATACTCACATATCCAACAATCTATCATACTCATATATCCAACAATAACAAACTGGACAATTATCACACATATAATCATCCTAACTAACAATTACTAGTGGGTCGGCCTTGGTGCCTTAGACCCACTTCTACTGGAAGGCAACTCACCTCGATGTCGTGTAGCGTTTGAACTGTCCTCGGCGTGAAGGTCGGCTCTCCTCGACTCCTCAATCCCTACACGACAATCCTCAAGTAATCAAACATAACATATGAGCCTAACCAGGGTGAATACCATAACCAGTTAAAGTCAACACCCAGTTGACCTGCCTCACCGAGATGCTCCACTAACTCGCCGAGACTCTACTAATCCGATCCAACCCTGACTCCATTTGTCGAGTCTAGTAAGAACTCGACGGGTTCTCCTTCATTCAAACCATCGGGAACATCTTCATCCGACTTGCCGAGTTCTTCCTTGAACCTGGCGAGCTCATTTCCCTCATAAGAATGTATTCGATCTACGACTCACCGAGTTTTATGAACAACTCGTCGAGTCCGTCTTCAAAGGTTGGGAGGTTGCCTTGGACTCACCGAGTTTGTTCATACACTATTTCAAGAGAACAAAACATACACACAGTCTGGTCTTGGGTAGAAGACTACTTTTCATTTTAAGTAGAAAATATAGGATTTTATGGGAAGTATACTAACATTTTCATAAATAAGATACAAACATTAGACACTAAATAGTTATGAACTCACCAACTTAAATGTTTATACTCTATTTTCAAATAACTTGTATTCTCACGAAACCAATAGACAGGTATACTAGCATAGGTTTTGCAAAGACTGAGCATATTTAAGACTCGTCTTCTATTTTTGCTATACATGTTGCTGTCTTACAACTATACAAAGAACACACATGTAATAACTATATTATTAATGCAATGGGTTTTGTTGCTTGTTTTACTATTGTACATTGTTATGATACTGTACATGATGTCCTCCACCCTCGAATGTTTCCACTATCTCGGTTTGGGGGTGTGACACAACTCGAAGATATGCTAATGGTCGAACTCTCGACCTAATTCGAAGGCCACAACCCAACGGAACCATGCATATTCTCAAGAAAGCCCGAACCTCATCCAAAAGGAAATATTTCCGGAGATAAAGCAACACACCACCACCATCAACAACAGAAGACGTCCATATCACCGACCGAAACAAGATCCCATACTTGATCGAGACGACACTACTCCTACCCACACGTAACTAGCTCGAGAAGACTTCTAAGGAAATCTCAATGGTTTCCAAACCCGAGTCTACTATAAATAAGAATTTCCAATCTACCACTGAGGGAGAACTTAACCAAGGATCAAGGGAAACATAAAGACATTGCACTGGAGGATGTGTGATGCATTCCTTGCTCTTAACTATCGTCTCTTGAATCCTTCAAGGAATGTTCAGTGAAAGACAAACTCAATGACCAATGGTCGAGGACATCATGAAACCTAAACAAGAGAATCACAAACCCACCTGGAGCTGAACATACCTACTTCTAGAGAGGTTCACCGATCAATATCTACCCAACAAATCTGAAACAGTAGTCCGAACAAAAACTGAAAAAACCTTCAATTCCTGACACTCAACTTGAGAATTTCCAATTCTCCACCACTTAGCGTTCTAACTACCACCCACTAGTTAGAAATCAACCCACAACTCAAATCGCCTTAACCGGGTACGATCATTCCTGACCATGGAATGAATAATATTCACAAAATGATCCTTCCCTATACAGATTAAACCTGAATTTCAGCTGAAGACTTCCAGTATGTAGATTGGCGTATAACGACTCCTAATAACCCAAGAGGTCAACCCGGGATATAACTTACCCAATACAACAAAATTTCAACACAATACAATTCTCGATACCATCCCCAAGAATACATGAGATGTCACACCATCAAAGATATTCAAAGAAATCCTGACTTCTTCCTCCTGGGTTACTCTGACCAACCTGAGGGTACGTAGGAAAACTCCCCTTTGATCCCAGGTGACATGAACTAATCCTTGTTTGCACTCCAAATGACAATCCGGAACCTGGCCTACTCAAGAATATGGTACCTAACTTGCCTCGTAGTGGCGGAGGGAGTACAGGGGAAAGCAAGTGCTTTTACCCCCTCAACATTTCTAATTTATATATTACTCCCTTCAACTTTTCCAATTTATATACATTACTCCCTCAACATGACTAAATTCATAAATATTACTTCAATTTTCATAATAACAACTAACAAGGGTTGAATGTTGCATATCCTTCAGAACTCAGAAAACCGTGAAAACTCGAGTCAACTTGCCGAGTTACCAAACAACTCGTCGAGTCCGTGCAGTGTCTAAAAGATCGGGAAAACACTAACCAACTCGCTGAGTCGTCTCATCCACTCGCCGAGTTCATTCAGAATCCAGAACGTGGGTAAACCTATCCAACTCGTCCGGTTTTCTGTGCAACTCGTCATGTTCCTTCATCCCTTTTCTCATTCAGATGCTTTTAAGCGAAACCAAGGGTCTAAATTGTAGATCTAGCCTCCTAGGGTGTAGTTACCATGTCAAGTTGCTAACTTTACATGCATGCAAGGCCTCAAGAGGCTAAACACCTAAAACTAGCCTTAGGAAGAGGTTTAGGGCATGAAGAAAGGCCAAAGCTTGATAAAGCTTGAGTCTTTATGTCAATGAGGGCCTAATGGAGTCCAAATCTGAACTCCTCACTTCAAAACGTGCTCAATACCAGAAATGCCTCATGAATAAGCTAGAAATGACCCTAAACTCTTGAATGAAAAGATCTAACTAGAAAATGATCAAGGTAATGACTTTTTACCTTCAAATGAATGCCAAAACGAAGTAGATGCTGGATCTACAAGCTCCTTCTTGTTCCAAGCTTCTCAATCATCAAGTCTCTTCATGAAATGCACCAAACACACACTCTTTAGCCTCACATACACTCAATATAGGAGGTTAGATCGATTAGGGTTTGTTTCTGGACGTGGAAGGTGGTAAGGGAGCCTGGAGGGAGGATTTAAGGTCCTTTAAATAGGGTGCAAACCATAAAAAATAGGTTTTGTTTTTCATAATCAGCTCCAACTTGTCGATTTGTGTCCTCCAGCTCGTCGAGTAGGTTCTCTGAAATACGCGACCCTTCTTGGTTTCTACACGACGAGTTTGGGCCTCCAACTCGTAAAGTAGATTTTCTAAAGTGCACAAATCCCTAAATTTCATTCCTGGAAATCAGGATGTTACAATAAAGATGAAGATTGTTTCCACCAACAAGGCATATATGAATTTCAAGATGATTTCATAGCTTTGTTGATCATCTCGCTGATACACTCAAGCTCTTTAGGAAAAGTAAGCACCAACCCATTGAACTACATAACGATCAAGAAAAAAATAAGCCACATCGATTGGTGCTCTTATCTGATATAATGTTTGGTTAAAAACAAACAGTCTTTTGATCCATCCAATCCAACAAGCAATTTTAATGGACCATGTGCTTATTTGGTGGTACGTTTAATATCTTTTATTCTATTTAAATATCTTTATAATCACATATGATTTTTATGTTCTAACATGATTAGCTATAATCACATGTGATTTAAATGTAAGATTCTTAAATCACGTGAAATCATATATGATTAATAGAATTTGTTTCAAAATTTAAACATGTATAACTATAATCACATATGATTTAAAAATATATTTTTAAATAAGTTTAAACCTGAATACATATAATCCCATGTGATTTTAAAAGCAATCTCGTTAAATCACATATGATTATAAAAATCATATGTGATTATTAATGTTTGTTACAAATATTAAAACCTATATAACAATAATCACATGTGATTTAAAAGTATATTGTTCTAAATCATACATGATATATAATAAATTATTAAATCACATATGATATATAATAATACTTTTTTATACAGTTGCTTTATCTAGACATAATCAAATATGATGTAGTTAAGGTTGAAAGAACACGTCCGATGATCTGCCACTGGACTTCAGAGAAGATAAAGATGAGAGAAACTTTTGAAAAGGATGAGGTTGGAGATTTTAATGATGAGTTTGTTGAGAAAGAATTAAATGAGGAGGTAAATTTAATTGCAACAATTATATAAAAACTTATCATTATTTACTAATATCTTAAATGTTTAATTATATAAATTAATATATATTTTAATTCATTTATTAAGGAGGCTTATGAGGAAATGGTCATGATTAAGTGTAGGAAGTTAGATATGTTGATTGAAGATGGAATAAATAAATTCCCATTAAATGTAACCTTGAAAAATTTGAAAAGTAGTTTTGATGAAAATTTTGAAGATGAGAATGAAGATAATTAAGAAAAAAATGGGAATGATAATGTTCAAGATGAAAATAGTGATGATGATGATGACAATGGAGATGATAATTATGAAGCAAAGAAAAAGAATGTAGGAGGGGAAAATATTGAAGGCGGTAAGTGTATTTAAAAAAAATCTCTATAATTCACATGTGATTAAATAAGTATCTTAAACTATATGCAGGTATGGGAGAAGAAAATGAGAATTTTAAAGGAGAAGAGAACAAAAAGGAAAAAAAAGATGGGGGAGCTAAAGCTATTAAAGGAGCAGGTAAGTAATACTTAACTGAGTCATATGTGACTATTAAATATAACTTTTTACAATCACATGTGATTAACTACAACTTTTGATTATATGCAGGTGGTGAGGAAGATGAAACTGATAATAATGATCAAGGTTTGGATGACATGAATTTTCATGATGAAGGTGTTGAAAATGATAAAGGTGGTGATGATGAAGAAGAACAAAACGATAAAGGAGGTAAACAACAATATAGATTAATAAAGTAGATATGATTACATATATTATAATCAAATGTGATTACATATATTATAATCACATAAGATTATAAAGGTATGTTATCATATTTAATTATAATGTATGTAATCACATGTGATTACATTCATAAATTATTAATATATTTTTTTTAATTGTATTCAGGTGTGGAGGGGAAGAATATAGAAGGGAAGAATGCTAAGAAAGGAGAAGGAAGAACTGGTGAAGAACCATAAAGAGTTGGAGAAGGTAAATATGAGTATATATTTGTAAAATAGATATGACTATAAAATAATATTTTGTTAATCACATATGTAATAATCACATGTGATTATATTCAAAATAACAATATAATATATTTGTATATATATATATATATATATATATATATATAATAATAATAATAATAATAATAATAATAATAATAATAAAAATCACATATGATTACATGTGTTGTAATCACACGTGATTATTATCACAAATGTTGTAATCATATTTCATAATAATCACATGTGATTATATTCACATAACAATATAATATCTTTGTACAATATTTTTTTTAATCACATATGGTTACATTTATAATAATAAGATTTTATTACTTAATGTATAATCACATGTGATTACATACGCTATAATCATATGTGATTACATATATTGTAATCACATATGATTACATATGTTACAATCACATCTGATTATAATATTAATAATTTTTTAATTATATTCAAGTGTGGAGGAGAAGAATCTAGAACTAATGAATGCTGAGAAAGGAAAATGAATTAATGGTGAAGAACAAAAGAGTGTTTGAGAAGGTAAATATAAGAATATATTTCTAAGTTTCATATGACTATAAAATCATATGATTAAATATGTAATAATTGCATGTGATTACATACGTTATAATCACATGTGATTATATTCACATAAAAAAATATAATATATTTTTACAACATAATTTGTTAATCACATATGATTACATAAATGTAATAATCACATATGATTACACATGTTATAAACACATGTTATTACATACCTTATAATCACATATGACTATATTAACATAATAATATATTATCTTTGTGTAATTTATTTTTTAATTCATATATGATTAATAATTTTTTTAATTTTATATATATATATATATATATATATATATATATATATATATATATATCAGGTGTAGAAGGGAAGAATTTGGAAGGAAGATTGGTGACAAGAAAGAAGGAAAAAGTAGACAACAACACAAAATGTTGAAGGAGGAGGTAAATATGAATATATATTTCTATATTATATATGATTATGAAAAAATATATTTGTACAATCATATATGATAACTAACATATTTGACTTATATGCAGAATTGATAGGAACAAATGATGTTCATGGAAAAGGTACCGATCCTATTTATCTGATAAAAATATTGTATTGAAAGCTAATTACTTTTTATATATTAATTAATTTGAATTCTATTGTATATAATTTGTACAATTTAAAAATCTTTTGATGTAATTGATAATATGATTAAATCGTATGAAACTTTTCTTTAATTATTGTCTATAACTGTTGATATGTTCTCATATAATCACATATGATTAATTAAAATATGTCAATATTGATCTATAATCACATGTGGTTATATCATTATAACCACAAATAATTAAATGATTAAAATCACTTACGATTATAATAATTTATGATTACATGTTCAAACGAATATACTAACTTATTATACTAATTACATATTTACAAAAACTCTTCCTTCAATATTATTGATAAAATGTTTATATGTTTTAGTATAATCACATGTGATCATAATCGACAAATAGTATTTTGTTTTACTATAATCATAACTTATAATCACATGTGATTACAATACATAAAAAAAATCAATCACATATGATTAAAAGTTATAGCCATGTTATGTTTTAATCATATGTGATAAAAAATATTTATGTTTTAATCATATATCATTATAATAAATAAAAAACACAAAAAAGACATTAAATCACAATTGATAAAGCAAAAAAAAATACTGATGAATCATGTGATGTATACTAACTTATTTCATTTATGTGATTTTTGAAGAAGATGTGAACAAAAAAATAACATATGTTATTGAAAGTATTTTTGGGAACACATCAGAGTTTAACAATACTAAAATCTTAAATGATGAAGAAGTCAATTCTGCTTATGACAAGAGCTTGAAAGAATACAAAGATCAAAAAGAAAAGAGTATGATGCCCTCGTATGACCTCAACATAAGCCAGTTGACACCCCCAGACATGAAAGAGGTAAATATTATTTTGTCTATTTGTAAAATATCATATCTTTATGAAGGTAATCACATATGATTTCATTATTTCTTAAACATATAGTCACGTGTGATTAAAAGTAATTATCAATTTACATAAACTTACAATCATTTGTGATTAAGAGTATGTATAAGTTTTTTAAAATTATGATTCTAATATTTTTCTAAACGTTATAATCATATATGAATTGTAGAATATTGGTGAAGAAGAAAAAGATAAAGGTAAAAAAGAAGTTGTGAAAGATGTACCAAATCCAAAACGAGAGAGCCAACCGACGATACAATTTATGATTTCAAAAAATCAAAATAAAGAGTCTTTGCCTGAGGTTACAGAAAATCAAAATATAACTCAACAACCTCGGCAACAAAGAAAGAATAAGACATACGAATTAATGAGGTCTCCATATAAAGAGAGAGCGATTTGCTTGAAAACAAAATTAACAACAGAAGAAGAAATGTTTGGTGAATGGTTGTTCAATTTGCAAGGAATTGCATAGTAAGTTATTAATCTTTGATTAACATTTACAAAAATAAACATTAATATATCTTTAATCACATCTGATTACAAAATAATATACACATATGATTAAAAAGTTATGTTAAATATACTTGTTCAACATGCATCAAATCACATGTGATTATACTTATATATATATATATATATATATATATATATATATATATAGAGAGAGAGAGAGAGAGAGAAAGAGAGGAGGGTTCAATTGAGAAAAAAGGTTGAGAAAGTGGGAATCATTCTCCGCCACACATTTATTTTGTCGTAAAACACTTAGGCATACTGGTGGAAATGGATAATGGATAAACATATGTTTTCCAACCAAACATGTTTTCTTTAAATTATGCTAATCATTACCTTAATATACAAAAAACATATTTTATATGTTTTTTTTAATTTTATTTTTAGAAAGCTATTTTTATCGAAAAATTATTTTAAATATATCAAAATTCATAATTTTTTATTCTCTATAAATAGATATCCATATTGATAGTTTTACTATAAAATAATTTTTTTTAGAGTTTCAGCTCTCGTTATTCATAAAAATTTTATTTTTTTTATTACAATACATTCGTTATTTACTCATGAATAAAACGAATGCTTAACTTTTTTTATAGTTTGAGTATCATTAATATATGAATATAAGACGTAATAAAGTTTTCTTACTTAAAATATATTTTTTACATCATCTTTCATCATATATTATATTTATGTATTAATAAAACGTATATTAGTTGTCGTCATATTTTGTATTCATAAATGAATAAAACATTTCTCAGATTTTTGTTACAGTTAATTTGCTATTCATATATGAATAAGTAGTATAAATGATATTTAAATTGTAAAAAAATTAATCATATTGTAACATCCCATTTTAAAAAGAATAATTAAAATAATAAACCCGGGACCCCGAGAAGTAATTTTATTATTATTTTATATTATTATAGCCCAAAATCAAATAATAATTAATGGAGTGTTGGTTTCGGGGAACCAAATGACAAGATTTGAATCTTCGGGGTCAAAGTGTAATTTCAGGATGAATTTTGTAACGATTTTTAGAAGCTAGGTGTGTTTCGTAAGTATTGGAATGGATTTGAAAGAAATTTTAGAAGGCGTGGGATGAATCGTAAATTTTGGATTCATTTTGAAAAGATTAATAAGGGGAGGGGCCATTGTTATTATTATGGGGGGAAGTTTATGAGTCGGGTCTATAACCCATCGCTACCCTTGATCAAACCCTATCCCTAAAGAGTTTAATGCAACCGCCCTCTCGTTCACCTCCTAGCCTCAGTCGCCACCTTGTCGTCTGCCGTTTTGCCATCGAAACACCACCATCACTACTTCATCGAACGTCGTGCGTAGCCGGGGAGAGACCATCGAGAAAAATCGAAGGTAACTGCACCGATTGGAGATCGGAGAACCGTTGTGATCGTCGCCGCCACTCCAAAAAGGTCGCCAAGAGTTACTTCCAATCGCTAGGTTAGCCGTTGCTGCCGTTGCTGTTGTGAGACCAAGACCGGCGGTGGAACATCGTTTAGTCGGATATGAAGGGAAGTAAATCGTAGTGCCTATGCCACCTCCTCCTCATGTGTGAAGCTGTAGAAACGAGACCAAGGTGAGCCACTGCTGTGTCGCTCTTGCTGTCTCCCTACGCCACCGTGAGGTAGGTGGTTGCGTTTATTTTCGAGCTAGCGTGCTTAGTGTGTGTGTTTATGTTAGTAAGGCGTGTGTATATGTTTTGATGTTAGTGTGTTCTGTCTGTGAGGTTATCTTGGCCGGATTTCTTGATAAAAGCCACCACCACCAGCATGAGGTGGTGGCTGCCACCATCTACCACCATCGGCCACCATAAGATAGCTATGTGTGTTCTTTGGGGTTTAGCATTGTACATTGTAACAAAAAATGAAATAGTGAAAAGAAAAACTCAAATCACCACCGTAGGGTGGTGGCTGCCGCCACCAGCCGCCGTGTTAGGTGGCGGTGTGCCTCGTTTGCGTTTTGGACTCGTTTGGGAAGTTTGGACAAGGGGACTAAAACCCTAATGCGTCTAATAAACCCTAATGGTCCAAATGAATTCCTAATTGACCTAAATTCCAAACACATGTGACTAATGGGTCTAATGGACCCTAATTGATCAAAAGACCTAGCTATTGGGCCTGTTGGGCTAAGATGGGGTTGGGACCTACATATGGGCCATTGGAATGGAATTGTGTATTAATCCCAACCATACAATATGATTTATTTAGAAGAGTGATGGACTTAATAGATTAAGTCCTTAATGGGTTAAGTGAGATACACTTAACCCTAATTGCCATTTTATGTGAAACCCTAATTTTGGGATTGATCGGGACCGCACGAGAATTAATTATTAAACTTAAAATATTAAATAATAACCATTGGAAAATTAACCTAAGGCAATATTGGACTTAATGGATTAAGTCCTTAATGGGTTAAGTAAGAACCAGTTAACCCTAATCTTCATTTAATGTGGAAACCCTAATTTCACTTGGGCCTTGAGTTGGGATTTTCTATTGGGCTTTGGTGATTGGACTATAATAATTTAATGGACTTAGGGTAAGGCCCATGTGGAGGTTTGGGCCCAATTTGAAAATTTAGGCCATAGATGGGCTATAGTTTGGGCCATTAGAATGTCGAATGTTAGACTGGCCTAAATGGTTGTGCCTTATGGTAAGACCCTATAAAGGTTTGGGACCAATTTGGGAAATTGGGCAATATGTTGGGCTTTGGCCCATTAGTTGAATTTTCGGCTTTTGGTGTGTGAGTTGGACCTTGGGCTTAGAACCCAATTATTTATTGTGTATTGTTTGATGTTGGCACTTCGGGAATCTGTCAACCAGCAGCTGGAGTTTCATCTGCGAGACTTCAGCAATGCCAGGTGAGTTATCCTTACTATATCAACATGGTTTAAGGCACCAAGGTCGGCCCTTTAGGGATTGTATTCGGTTATGGCATGATATGTTTATTGGTTTGCATCCTAGTTGTTAGGATGTGGTTATGTTTATGCTTAGTGACCTGGTTATAGGATGTTGTTATGATATATGATATGTTAGATCAGTTTGATTATTATATATGTATGCTAGCGTATGATAGTTATGTGCACACATTTGTTTTGATTTGGGATGCGTTGAGGCGGTCCTGCTTTGTGCTGAAGGACAATATACCCAGGGCGGACCGGATAGACTACAAACCCGAAAGGGTATGGTAGTTAGACCGAAGGCCCAACGAGTGTTCTGGATAGGCTGAAGGTCCTGCGAGGCGGTTCAGATGTGCCAAAGGCTCGGAGAGCGGTCCAGATAGACTGAAGGCCTGCGAGGCGGTCCAGTCAGGCTGAAGGCTCATTATGCATGTTGTTCTGTATTTGCTATATGATATGGTTATATTTGTATGGCATTGGTATTTTGGGGAAACTCACTAAGCTTCGGGCTTACAGTTGTTGATTTTGTTACAGGTACTTCTGATGATCGTGGGAAGGCGAAGGCGTGATCATGCACCTTCTCATATTTTCATGATTGATTCTGGGGATAATCTGATGCTTAAACTATTTTGAAAATAAATTGTAATAACTTAATGGTTTTAAATGTTTTAAAAAAGTTTGAAATTGGTTTAAACTTTATGGGTGTTACAAGTTGGTATCAGAGCCTTGGTTTGAGTGAATTGGAGGAATATTTGTGTGAATCCAGTCTCAAATCAAGGAAAGATTTTCAAAATGATTTCTAAAATGGTTTTCAAAATAAGTAAAGGAGGATGCAGGGTGTATGATCAGTCGGAGCCAGTAAGTAGACCCCAAAATACCCTACAGTTATTTGATTACGTGATATGTTAGAACAATATGCTAGTGCTAGGCTATGGATCTTCAGGAATTACATGATAGAATTGCCTGATTACATGATGCCTGCTAGCCCAGGGTTTCCTTTATATGAGATTGACATCATTACTGTAGTTGCTTAGTGTATGCATCACTGTTATACATAATTAAGATCTTATAGCCTGAGAATGTTTGATTTGGTCTTATATTCTGTTCTTGTTTGATTGGGAGCTTAGGGTAGGATTGGAAATTTGAAAGTCTATGGGGTCCAGTGTTATGTATGGCTAGCATACACTAGTGTTGCAGGGTTGGTGGAAGTTTCATGGATGGGTGGGTTGTGTGAGACCGGTAGGTTAGTTGTGAGACATTTATCCTTCCTCTAGGAGTGAGGTTGAGCGACCACCGTGTGTATGTATATTGTTAGGGTGTTGTGGTGATACGTGAGACAAATATGGGTAGGTGTGGAACGTAGTATGGGCCCTTACTACTGGAAGCATAGGACCCATAAGTGTAGCAAGGAAGTCACAACCCCTAGGGTTGGGTTGGGAGTTGGTCTCATGTAATTATATGGATTATCATAGATCTTTCAGGTGTCTTACCAGAATGGTGGTTATGAGACGTATTGAGACCGAATCTAGGTTAGGATTGGGAGCTAGCAACCAGGATAGGCCAACATTGTCAGAGGACCGTGTCAGTGAGATCATCCAGGAGGAAGTGACCAAGGTTGTCTGGGGATAGTTTTCGGAGATGTTTGGGTCTATTAAGACCGCTATAGTTGAATATTTAGACAAGCGGTATGCAGCCATTGCTGAGATGATTGTTGCGACAACTATAGCAGTTGTAACGATGGCAAGGGGAGGAGCTGGTCGAGCTTTCCAGTATCGGGACTTATTAGTGGGATATATTATGATGAACAGAGGGCTGCGGTTACTTGGGACCAGGGAGATATTCTATACTCATTACATTTCGCGGGTTAAGCGGGAGAGTCTAGCACATGAGTTTCTAGATTTGAGGCTTTGAGGGTTTTGCTCGAGGCCGGAATGTGAGTCGCAAGGACTCCGGAAAGGAGTGATGATTATGTTCAGCTGGGGTTTTGTAGCTAGAAGTAGAATGGTTAATTGGTGGATTGGAATGTTGTGTTATTGGGAAATGATTGT